AAAAAAAAAAAAAAAAAAATCCCCACCATGCCTGCTGCCCCCTCCTTGCGTGCTAGGGCCTGCACATGCTCCTCTCTCTGCTCTGCTCACATCTTCTCTCACTTCTCCTGCCTGCCACCTCCCTGCATTGACCCAGCATTTTTGCTCCATGCTGGGGCTGTTCCATCCCAGGGAGGGATGCTGTGGCCATTCCCTTTTCATAGTCCAACTTCGTCCCCAGGCCTGACCTGATTGACTTTGATAAGCTGAAGGACTCCAATGCCCGCCACAACCTGGAGCACGCATTTGATGTGGCTGAGCGCCAGCTGGGCATCATCCCTCTCCTTGACCCTGAAGGTGAGCTGTACCTACCTAGCCAGCCCTGCACTGAGGTGACAGGGGATGGGACTTGCTGAGCTGGAGGGAGCTGGACTGGCAGGGCTCCTGGAGGCTGGCCCAGATGCCAGGCAAGCTGTGGGCACAGTGGCCAGGCTGGGCTCTGCTCTGGGCCTGCTTCTCAGCTCCAGGCTGGTTCCCAATGCCTGGCCTGGCCTGATCAGAGGTCCAGTGTGGACTTCGGATCTCTCTTCTTTTCCTCTTTCATAATTATGGTCTTGATGCTGATTTCATCACTCCCTTCCATTCTTGCCCAGTGATTGTCACTTGGTGGCTGTGGTTGAGCTTCCTGCTGGAGGAGTTTGGTCCTGAGAATGTGCTCTTTCCCTTTACAGATGTCTTTACAGAGAACCCTGATGAGAAGTCCATCATCACCTATGTGGTGGCATTTTACCACTACTTTTCCAAGATGAAGGTGCTGGCTGTGGAGGGCAAGCGTGTTGGCAAGGTACCAAGCTGCTCTGGAACCAGAGTGTCACCCTTTTCCTGTTTGCCACAGCAAGATCCAGACTGAGGATCTCCCTTTGTGTTCCCAAAGCTTCATGCCTGGGCCCCCAGCTGTGATCACTCACCTCCACAACTTCCTCTAAAGCTGATCTTTGCCACACTTGCAGCTCTGTGCCCATCATCTACTTGGAGACCCATGTCTTGGGAATGTCCCCACAGGAGCCAATATGGGCTTTCATTTGAGTTGTTTATTGTGGTTATGGCTGTCTCAGGGCCCACAGTGTACTAGGAACTTATCCCCTGCCACATTCCTGTGTCTCCTGCTAGGCCCACAGCTCCTAGACTGCAGGGGTGTCTAACCTTTTTTTCCTATTGCACACTGGAAGAAGAGTTGTCTTGGGCCACACATTAAATACATAAATACTAACAAAAGCTGATGAGCAAAAAATGGTCTGTACATAATTTTCACTATATCCAACACAACAGGTAAATAAAACTGGCCTGAAAAAATATGCATGCTGCCTGTGGGCAGTAGGTTGAACACCTCTGTTAGATGGTAGGGACTATTTCTCATTTATCTTTGTGCTCCTGGTGTTCAACAAAGACAGTGTCTGGCAGCCTTGATACTTCATAAGCATTTCAAAATAAAATCCTGGGCCCCCTAATGGTTGGTATTGCAGCGTGGCAAACTTACTGAACTCTCATAGGGTTTGAGGATGGTAGAGAACTGTCCCCAAATCCTAGCAGAGCCAGCTCTCTGCTGGCTGCCAGTGCAAGAGAAGGCCTCAGCCACCTCTAGTCCACTCCTTGTGCCTTGACTATAGTGTTGAACTCAGAGCACAAACCCAACCTGGAGCACCCCAGGGCTTGAGAGGTGTACCTTGATTATGGTCCTCATTGGTGGCCTGTTCTTCTGACAAGAATGAATAATAAGGTGGCTTCTTAGGTCATTGACCACGCCATTGAGACTGAGAGGATGATTGAAAAGTACAGCGGGCTGGCTTCAGACCTGCTTACCTGGATTGAGCAGACCATCACCGTCCTAAACAGCCACAAGTTTGCCAACTCACTGGCTGGTGTCCAGCAGCAGCTCCAGGCCTTCAGCACCTACCGCACCGTGGAGAAGCCACCCAAGTAAGGGCCTCACACTTGAGAGGGTGGTACTCGGGAGCTGAGAAACTGACTGCCAAGAGGAAGAGCCAGGTTATGGGCCTTATCCACAAGCACATCCTCAGGTTGGAGAGCTGTACCGCTGTCACCTGGCTCAGGACCCTCTTTGCCACCCTAGTCAAGCCATCAGTTTATAGGAAATGGGAATTGATGAGAAACCTCAATGCCTAGCCCAAGAAAGTGGCTCTTCCCAGGTCCCTGAGGAGGAGCAGGAGGGAAATCTCAGGTTTCTGAGTTTGTGTGAAGAACTTGTGCTAGAAAGCTCCTCTCTTGTCCAACTGAGCTACAGGTTTTTTTCTACTGATGACCTCTGTGCTCTCAGTCCCTGAGCCCTCTGCATGGGCCTTATGGATCATCAAGTATATCCTTTCCCAAAAAAAAAGTATATCCTTTCCCCTCCAATCTGTCACTGCTCAGCAGCAGGGCACTTAGCCTGCTTCTTAGCCACACACACACATGCACACATGTGCACCATGTATGCAAGTGTCTGTGTACATACAACCACACACATGCACATACAAATGTGCACGCACATGCACATGTACACAACCACACACACCCATACAACCATGCTGCACTGCACTGCACAGTGTACATACAACCATGTTTGTGTGTGCATGCATGCATGGCTTTGTGCATATGTGCACACAAGTGTGAGTAGCTGTGTGTGCACATGTGCATGGTTGTATGTACAACCGCTGCACAGGGTACATACAACCCTGCATGTGTACACATGCAGCCATGCACACATACAACCATGTACATGTGCACACAGCCATCTATGCACACGTGCATTCACACACAAATGCACAACCATGCATGCAATTGCACGTGCATGCACACAGGTACAGATAGCCATGCACACTCGTGTGCACATATGCACAAAGCCATGCATGCATGCCCACACAAACATGCACACATGCACATACGTGCACGTGAAGCATTCCAGGTAGTCTGCCGTTAGCTTGTGCAGCTCCCCCAAAATAGGTTTCTAGTTCATTGGTGGAACCTTCCATTCCTTTTATTCCTGCCCCTCCCATTTCCCACACTCTTCATTCATGACTTCAAAAAGGGAAAGGTAACACCAAGTCTAGGACATGCTATAAACAAGGATCTGGTTTTTGGCCTGACACTAACCCACTTTTATTAAAGTCTTAAATTCAGTACGGATAACATCCTCTGTGAGCCTCCCAGCCACTGCCCACAGGGCACTGTCTTTTGCCCATGTAGACAGTGCTTCACAGCCATAGCCCACCTGAGCACCTGTCAACACTGACATCCATCAGTCTGTGCTCAGGTGGGGACCTTATGTATAGCCCACCCTCAGCTACCATGTCAAGGATATAGAAGTGGGGGGACAATTAGCTACACAAAGAAATGAGAAAGTTGATAGTTGCCTGGAGTTTGGACCCCATGTGCTGCCAGTTCTCTGACACCCACAGTCCTTCCAGAGCCCAGCCTTTCCTGCCCTCTTGTAAGCATCTGGCCCTGGGACTTGTCAGGAGACCCAGCTCGTTGGGACTCACTCAAGAGCTGCTCTCAGGGCAGAGTGCTCTTATGAGGGCAATACTTAGGGCTCATTGGCTCATTCAGTAACAGACGGACTAGAGAGCTAGTCAGATGCCTTCATCACTTGCAGAACAAAGAAGGGTTTCTTTGTATTGACTGGTAAAACTTCATATTTACAGGAGTTTCCAGAATGCTTCAATTAGCCATTCTCCTGTGGAAGCAGATCATAAATGCTGTGGTAGCCATTCTGTTTTCTTTGGTTTATGTTGTAAAGACCCAACCCCCCCATTAGATCTCATCTGGTGAGAGTGATAGGTCTAACAGGTAATTAGAGCTACAGATTCTTTGCTTTTTCTGTATTTTTAAGGGAAATATGCTTTGCCATCCAAGCTCTAAGATGCCAGAGTTCCATGTTGACTTCAGGAAAACCCTTGGCCTTGGGGTCAACAGTGGTCCTTCCTCTGTTTTCCCAACAGGTTTCAGGAAAAGGGGAACCTGGAAGTCCTGCTTTTCACCATCCAGTCCCGGATGAGGGCCAACAATCAGAAAGTGTACACGCCCCATGATGGGAAGCTGGTGTCTGACATCAACCGGGTATAGCGGTGTTTTCCCTTACGTGCTGCCCAGGGCTGATTAAGCTCCTGATAAGGGCACAGGGAATGGTCAGGGGATCAGGCTAACCCAACCTGCTCCCTTTGATGTTATTAATCCTCATGCTGGTGGTTGGGGAGTTACCTGAACCTGGTTCTGAGAGGTCAGACTCTACCTACCACCCTTCAATTCAGTCCCCTGCTCAGATGCCCAGAGCCCATGTTTTAGAGGTAGTTTTATAACCTCTCCTCTCTAGGACCTTGAGTTTGCCTTTAAATATGTAATATTAACGACTTAGCAGAGAGGAAATGGCTTATGACATCTCAGAGATGTGGGGACTTAGCACCACCTGGAAGTTGTAGTCAAATAGAGGTAGCTATTTAGTCAATAGTTCACCTCTGTTGAGCAGAGGGGTGAAAAACATTATATTAAGTCAACAATCTGAGGCTGGTTCAGGAGAACAGGGAACTGGGAGGTCACAGCCAGTGCTCCCTGAATCTTTTGTGGGTCCAGAGGAAAGCCAAAGGACTTTTATAGCCTTTAATCTGCTACCACTTCACCTAAAAGCATCAGGTGCTCAGAAATCACTCCCTGGTGGGTGAAAGAGATGGAGCCCCTGAACTCAGTTGTTTTTCCTCATCCACCCTTGTGCAGGCCTGGGAAAGCTTAGAGGAGGCCGAGTACAGGCGGGAGCTGGCGCTGAGGAACGAGCTGATCCGGCAGGAGAAGTTGGAGCAGCTGGCCCGGCGCTTTGACCGAAAGGCCGCGATGAGAGAGACGTGGCTCAGTGAAAACCAGCGCCTCGTGGCCCAGGTAATGGGGGACTTGAGAGGGGACAGCAGGAGAAGGGAAGTTTCTCAGAGCCCCCAGCTCGCCGTGACTGGGTGGGGCAAGGCTTGCATCTGAGGAAGAGCTCTCCGGGACTTATTAAGTCCCATTTTTAGGAAAGAGCCTCACAGTATAGAGCTGGCCCCGGGAGTTGTCCTATGGGCCAGTAGCATCAGCTACACTGGGATTTGAGTTGACATTAATAACGATTCTCCGGGACGTGGTGAGATCACAGAAAACACCTTGTCTGTGTCAGATGTGCCTTTTGGCCTCCGTAGCTGTGACATATTTCACCAACTAAGAATTGACCCCGGGGCTGGTTCTCCATCAGAGGGTCTGTTCCCTCCCACCTGACACTTAGAATCAAGTTTGATTCTGTCCAGAAAGGGGAGAGCGAATGTTCTGAGTGCACTGCAGAGAGGTGGTGTGCCCCGGGTAGCACGTGGGGAAACCATCTGTCCACAGCTGCCTGGCTTCCACATAAGGGGGGGCCCCTTCCTCCCAGTACCAGACAGTCAAGGCAGGGTGGGGGTGCCAGTGGTTGTCACAGGGCTCTGTCAGTAACACACAGGAGTGTCACCCACACATGTGGCATGGGGGTAAATCATGAACTTCTCCTAGAGGTTCTTGTGAGACATGACTTTGGGGAAGTTGGATCTGATAAGAGGCTGTGTGGAGAAGGCAGAACTAACTCCTTCCTGGTGATGGGTTTTCCCTCCCGCAGTTGTTCTGAACGGGCCAGCCTTGCCCTGCACTTGGGGTGAGCCGAGGGCCTCTTAATGAGCCACCTGTTTTCTCCCCATGGGGCAGGATAACTTTGGGTATGACCTGGCAGCCGTGGAGGCTGCTAAGAAGAAGCACGAGGCCATCGAGACCGACACGGCTGCCTACGAGGAGCGGGTGAGGGCCCTGGAGGACCTGGCCCAGGAGCTGGAGAAGGAGAATTACCACGACCAGAAGCGCATCATGGCCCGCAGGGACAACATCCTGCGCCTGTGGAGCTACCTGCAGGAGCTGCTGCGGGCCCGGCGCCAGAGGCTAGAGACCACCCTGGCCCTGCAGAAGCTCTTCCAGGACATGCTGCACAGCATTGACTGGATGGACGAGATCAAGGTGGGTGGGGCACCCAGTCCCCATGCCCCCTGGAGCATCCTGCGGTTAGCATGGGCCTCCTTAAGCCCTCCCAGCCATCCACAGCCTGAGGCAAAGTGAGAAGCAGAGACAGCAGTGTGTCCAGCTTGCTTACTCTGCTCCAGGCAGATGGCACCAGCCCAGGTCCACAGAATTCCCAATGACCAAGAAATCTTGGGCTCATGAAAGCACAGGTGCCAATCCTCAGGGCTTGAAGAGACAGGTAACATATAGGGGCCAGGCGAATCACGCTCTGGGTGATCACAGTTTGACCCTGGTTAGAATCCAGATCTCCCAGCCTAGGGGCCACCAAAGAATCCTGTATTTTCCTCTCCCTCTACCACAGTGGGTCTCAGCTGAGGATACACATCAGGCTAACCTTGGAGCTTTTTAGAAATATACATGCCACAGGCTCCAACCTTGCAACAGACACGTGGCAGAGGAGTGTAGGGCTTGTGATGGGCACCCCAGGGGCATGCCTGCTCTGTTGCTTTTCCTTCCTAAGCAGCAGCTGTTTCTTAGCTGCAGCCCACTCACTCTGGCTCAGACGCTGTGGACACACCCTCGCAGGGGCCTCTTCTCCTGATGTGTACCTCTCTTTGCTTCCTGTTCCCTTTACTGTGTCCTCTTTGCCAGGCTCACATCTTGTCTGCTGAGTTTGGGAAGCACTTGTTGGAGGTCGAAGACTTGCTACAGAAGCACAAGTTGATGGAGGCTGACATCGCCATCCAAGGGGACAAAGTGAAGGCCATCACCACAGCTACCTTGCAGTTCACTGAGGGGAAAGGTGAGGCCAAGGCTGTCTCCCTGTTGAAGCCTCTGGCCAGCACTCTACCTTGGATAAATCTCCAGGAACATCTTTAGAATTCTGCTTCTTTCATCAAGTAATGAATGGTACAAGAAAGAAGCTTGAAAGACAGCAGAATTTGCCAGTGACCAGGGACTCTGGTAACCTACAGTCAGAAAGTCAGAAAGGCATTATAAGGTGGCCAAGGGGGTATCCTCCATCTTTCATTCTCCTTGCTAGTTCACGTTATGGTGGAGACAATTTCATTTTCTAGTCTTGGGTCTGAATAAGTGAGGGAGACCTCACTTCCATCTTGTAGAATCACCTTGAAATATCAATGTATTTCTGAGCTTTTTAAAAAAATAATTTCGGCAGTGCCTGTAGCTCAGTGGGTAGGGCGCCAGCCCCATATACCGAGGGTGGTGGATTCGAACCCGAGTCCAGCCAAACTGCAACAAAAAAAATAGCCAGGTGTTGTGGCAGGCACCTGTAGTCCCAGCTACTCGGGAGGCTGAGGCAAGAGAATCGCCTAAGCACAGGAGTTGGAGGTTGCTGTAAGCTGGGATGTCACGGCACTCTATCGAGGGTAACAAAATGAGACTCTGTCTCTAAAATAATAATAATAATAAATTAAAAAAATAATAATTTCATGTTCTGCATTTCTACTGAGAATTGACCTTACTTTAATCTTCCTTCTTCCTGAAGTTTAATGGAAGCTAATGATAAAGAATCTGTCCAGCCCTCTGAGCAACTGGGCTAATTCCAAAGCCCCAGTGGCATGGCAGTTTCTGGATTGTGTGGTTCTAACCTGGGGACTGATCTGAAGTTTGCCCATGAATGAAGCCCTCGCCTCCTTTGTCCTCCCCCCCCCCTTCCTCCCAGGGTACCAGCCTTGTGACCCCCAGGTCATCCAGGACCGCATCAGCCACCTGCAGCAGTGCTTCGAGGAGCTGAGCAACATGGCAGCTGGGCGTAAGGCCCAGCTAGAGCAGTCCAAGCGGCTTTGGAAGTTCTTCTGGGAGATGGACGAGGCTGAGAGCTGGATCAAGGAGAAGGAGCAGCTCTACTCCTCCCTGGACTACGGCAAGGACCTGACCAGTGTGCTCATCCTGCAGCGCAAGCACAAGGCCTTTGAGGATGAGCTCCGTGGGCTGGGCACCCACCTGGAACACACCTTCCAGGAGGCTGAGGCCATGGTTGCACGCAAGCAGTTTGGGCACCCACAGATCAAGGCCCGTATCACGGAGGTGTCGGCTCAGTGGGACCAACTGAAGGAGCTGGCTGCCTTTCGCAAGAAGAATCTCCAGGATGCTGAGAACTTCTTTCAGTTCCAGGGCGATGCGGATGACCTAAAGGCCTGGCTGCAGGATGCCCACCGGCTACTCTCAGGGGAAGATGTAGGGCAAGATGAAGGGGCCACCCGGGCCCTGGGGAAGAAGCACAAGGACTTCCTGGAGGAGCTGGAGGAGAGCCATGGGGTGATGGAGCACCTAGAGCAGCAGGCCCAGGGCTTCCCTGAAGAGTTTCGGGATTCCCCAGATGTGACCAATCGGCTGCAGGCCCTCCGGGAGCTCTACCAGCAGGTGGTGACCCAGGCAGACCTGCGTCGACAGAGACTGCAGGATGCCCTGGACCTGTATACAGTGTTTGGGGAGACCGATGCCTGTGAGCTGTGGATGGGCGAGAAGGAGAAGTGGCTGGCCCAGATGGAAATTCCAGACACCCTAGAGGACCTGGAGGTCGTGCAGCACAGGTCAGACCCAGCTCCTTGTTAGTCTTTCTTGCTTTCTACACTGAGGCCTTCCCACCTAGTTTGGTAACAACTGCTGGATCACTGGGGTCCCTTTAAGACAGCAGCTCTCAATCAAAAGGCTGCGGCATTCAGAAGGTTGAGAACCACTGCTTTAAGAGGTCCTGGGGTATCCTTTATTGCAAAGCTAGAGCTTTGGGAACCACCAGTTCTATTCTGGCTCTATCACCTTGGGTACTTCATTCGCTGGAACTTTGCACATCTCAAACAAAGGAAAAATTTCTAGTCCAGTTATTCAGTTAGTTCTCAGCTACAATAGCCTCTCCCCAGATTAATTGCACATGGAATTTCCATGTAATGCTGAGGAAATATGGCGCTTTTTTGGATAAGGGGCTGAGAGGCTGGAACCCTGCCAGCTCTAGCTCTCTGAGACAATCCCTAAGCCACAGAAATCTGAGGGGTCACAGAGACCAGCTTGTCAACCTCTGCAAGTCATGCCACCAGCACTGGAGTGCAGACACAGCCCAGTCTTTGTGGCATCTTAGTCTGAGCACAGGGTCTAGGGCCCCAGTAGGAGAGGCTGCTCCCTTGGGCTGTGCTGAGATGGTCCTGTCCTGATGCTACGGGGCTCTTATTTTCAGAACCACAACACACCCACCCCCAGCAGCTCTCCCCGATCCTGCCCAGGAATGGAGCATCTGATTGGGGAGGGATTATCCTTTGGATCAAGGTGGAATCAAGATTCAAGAGCAGCAGCCAGGACATTGGAGGCTTGGCACCCCTAAAATACACTATAACCTCTTTGTAGCCCTCCCCTTACTTGTGCTTCTCTGTTGCACCAGAAGGCTATGTAATGAGTAACCAGCTCTCTCCTGGCCTGGTCTAGGCAATGCTCGTGCATGAAATCGGGCCCATGAGCCAGAAAGGAGGGTGTGTCAGCACATCTGTCTCCTTTCTTCCCCTCACCTGGGCAAACCAGTTTGGCAGCAAAAGGAAAAAGCAAGAGTTACATGCTCTGGAGACTTGGGTGCTGCTGGTGCCTCAGTGAGCCTCTTTTTCCTCTGTATCAGGTTTGACATCCTGGACCAAGAAATGAAGACTTTGATGGCTCAGATTGATGGTGTGAACCTCGCTGCCAATAGCCTGGTAGAGAGCGGCCACCCACGCAGTGGGGAAGTGAAGCAGTATCAGGACCACCTGAACACCAGGTGGGGTGTGGATGGGGCTTGAGGCTGGGGCCATTGTCTCCCAGCCCCTGATACCCTCAGGGGAGTGTGGCCCCGTATTCAGGCCACCTGCTATGTACTGCCACCTGTTCCCTCAACGTATGTACCTGTCCTTCTCAGCCACTGTCTCCTTCCTAGTAGCAGTGGAGCAAGGAGAGGACCAAACTGGTGAACAGCTCAGGGAGCGAGAGAGCCACACTCCTGGAACCTCAGTGCTATGCTGGGAGGAAGGGCATGTGCACATGTGTCATGGAGGGGGGATTCTGAGAGTGTGTGCAGTTAGAATCAGGCCATATGCTTCTCAGGCCATATTTCCCTGGACATTCTTGAACAGAGAAAATTGCTTTGTGAGAGCTCTTAAGTACTGTCCACAAAAGAATGCTCCTGCCTGTGCCAAAATGCAGCATCAGTAATGAGGCTGGGTCGAATGAAGAGGAGAATTAGCAGGGAACCTTGAGCAAGCTTTGTGGCTGGAACAAAAACCAGGCCCCAAGGAGCCTTTAGAAAGGGGATGCTTTCAGTGTAGGGCATAATTGCCCATTAGTTCCTGGAAGATCTTTGAGGATAGAGCAAACATCTGTGTTTCCTATTTTCACTCTAGGCCCTGCACATCAATGCTATGTAGCCACTACCTCCCCTTCCCCCAAGGCTCACTTGTACCTGAGCCTTGCTCTGTCTGAGGCAGATGTGGTGGTGGGCTTAGGGAAGACTCAGTGGTAAAGAAAAGGATCAGCATGATGAAGAGTCTGCTGGTGGCCTCAGAGAAGCAGGGGTGACCAGAATACTTTGGTGCCACTAGAGTAGGGCCGATTGTCTCAGCATTAAAAGATGGGCGCTGTAGTTCAGGAGACAGCTCTGCAAATCCAAGGCTTATACAGAGAGGAGGACTCTTCTTTAGGCCTGCAGGTAATGGACTTGTGTGAGGGAGAGAGGAAGGGAGATTGATCGAGAGGTTATTGCAGTTGCTGCTTAACTCAGGAAACTAAAGCAGGTCCAAAGCAGAGACACTTCCAGGTGGGTGTGAGAATGTTGATCTTTACAGATCCCTAAACCATGCTCCATCCCTAATGGAAAACATTACCATACCTGCCCTCCTTAGGCAAGAAAGAACCCGAGACATGAAATAATATGGTTCTCCATTAGGGCTGAGTGTTGAAGGGGACCTGAGAAGTGGCCCTTTCTGGCTCACTCCCCGACCCCCTGTAGCCCTTCCTACCCTAAAGCAACTCCTATTGGTTAAAAAGTTCAATATCACATTTAGTGGAAATCTGCCTCTTAAAAATTTGTTCACATTGCTCTGGCTTTGCCCTTTAGATATATCAAACTAATGCTGATTCCTCTTCTGTGTATGGCCCTTTATTATTTTACTTTCTTTCTTTTTTTTTTTTTTTTTTTTTGAGACAGAGTCTCACTCTGTCACCCTGGGTAGAGTCCCGTGGCATCATAGGCTCACAGCAACTTCAAACTCCTGGGTTCAGTGATCCTCTTGCCTCAGCCTCCTGAGTACTGGGACTATAGGCACCTACCACAATGCCCAACTAGTTTTTGTGTTTTTAGTAGAGAAAGGGTCTTGCTCTTGCTCAAACTGATCTCGAACTCCTGAGCTCAAGCAATCCACCCACCTTGGCCTCCCAGCGTGCTGGGACTACAGGCGTGAGCTGTGTGTGGCCCTTTAAATGTCTTTGGAAACAGCCCTTGCCCAGCCCAGTGCTATCTCTGTGTATTCCAAATGCTGCGTGTTCTTCAAGGCCAGTCCAGGTTCATCCCCTTCTCAGTTTCCTAAATGAAAAGCTGTCTTTCCCTCCTTCATACTAGTCTCCAGTTCATGTCCTGCCTTGTGTTGTAATTACTGTGCTGACGAGCTTTCCTGTCCTTACACATCACCCCCGTGCTTTGCACATACATTCTTGTGTGAGGTTCTGTCTGTTGGGAATATTATTTTCCTGGCTAACCACTTCAGCTCACTCATCAGCTTACTGGAGTGGCCCTCGCTGACCACCCCATTGAAAGCAGCTCATCCTCCCTCCCATCAACCTGCTCAGCCTCAGTCCTATTACCTTGCTCTACTTTTTCTTTGCACTTATTCACCACTGGCGTGTGTAAGTTTCTGCCCACGTGAATGAAAGCAGGTCTTTGCTTTGTTCTTTACTGTATCCTTAGTGTCCAGGTTAGTGCCTGACACAAAGCGCAGGGCTGTTGCCTGGTGAATTCTTCGTCAGTGAGTGGACTGGAACAAAGCTGAGATTTTTCTGCCAAGCTTGGCACATATGAGTCATTTACTCACTGAGTGTGTGGTTGTCTTTCACTGTAGGTATTCCACTTGACTAGCATTTTTCTAAAAGTCGTGGGCCTACAACCAAACCAGGACTCATAATGTTGCACGACCAGTGCTGGTTGGGGTGGCTCTACCAACTTCCTGCCTCCCACACACCATGCACGTGGCATATGCAGGAAGTGTGGCTCCAGGAGGCAGGCTAGCCCCAACTCCCAGCCCCCTCTGCTGTGGCTTTCACTCAGTGGCTGACATGATGCCACACCAGGGAAGGCCTGGAAGGTCACCAGGGAGCCTTGCAGTGCCATCTGTGGTGCCAGCCAGGCACAGAATTCTTCAGAAACCTTCAGGTGCCCTCTTATCTCTCATGGCATTCCAGCCTGTCCCCTGCTTCTCTTTGCAGACCTATCTCTTAAATCAGACCGGTGCTACTGTCATACTTTGGGAATGTTACACAATACTCCACCCAGTCCATCTGCCTAGTCCCGCACCCTCTACCTTCTGGGGCCTAGGGACAAAGATGAATGTGATATACTTGGTCCCATCCTTAAACATATCACTTCAGTAGAGTCACTGAGGGTCTGTTTGCTGAGTGACTGGTGACCACCGTGAAACCTCCACCGCTACCCTGTTGTTCCTTTCAGCTCCGTCTGTTCTCTCTCTCTGGCATGCACAGTATACATAGCACTTCACACTGTAGTTATTTTGTGAGCTTTTCTGAATTTTCTCTAAATCAGACACACCCAGGGACAAAGATGGTTACATCTTCTTTCTTCCAAAGTGTAACATCCTGCTTTGCACCCTTGGTGGGTATTCTAGAAAGATGGTTTCAACAGGAATGAACATTCAGTACACTCCTGTGCACTGATATATTTCAGTGATACAGAATGAATAAACTTGGGTCTATGGGAGGTGTCCTTGATGGTCTGGCCCGGCTGGTGGGCAGCCCTTTAAAAGAGGCTTATTGGGTACTGCAACTTGACCCAAGCCCTGGGCATTTGCCAGATCTTAGTACATTTCCCTATTCATAGCAACATTGCCCTTGAAGGTTAAGATTATGTTACTTGTTTTAATTATAATCACAACTCTTCCTCTTCCCTCCTCTTCCTCCTTTTCTTCCTCTTCTTCCTTACCTAGATTCCTTTCCTTTAGATCTAAGTGACTTTTCAGTACCTGGGACACTTTGAATATGGCCTTTGGCATTTGTATGGGTCTAGGGCACCTGGGGACCCATGTCCTGAAGCATTCTTTATTTTTTTTTTTTTGAGACAGAGCCTCAAGCTGTCACCCTGGGTAGAGTGCCGTGGCATCATAGCTCACAGCAACCTCCAACTCCTGGGCTCAAGCGAGTCTCCTGCCTCCGCCTCCCAAGTAGCTGGGACCACAGGCACCCGCTACAATGCCGGGCTATTTTTTGGTTGCAGCCGTCATTGTTGTTTGACGGGCCTGGGCTGGATTCGAACCCACCACCTTAGGTGTATGTGGCTGGCGCCTTAGCCACTTGAGCCACAGGTGCTGAGCTGTGAAGCATTCTTGAAGTTAATAAATATGAGATTTATAATTATTTTTGATACTTTATAAACTCTGGGGAAATTTTATATTTCCCTGAAGTCAAACTACACACACAGCCTTTACTTTCATGCTGCTTTACTCCTGGTTAGAATCACATCACTGCTTGCCTCCTGCTGATAAAAAGATCTGACTGACAGTTATAGCTTGAGCAAAATTGGATAGATAAATTTTGCGCACTGATAGTTTGCTGGGCAGATAATGTGGTTCTTTCAATATACAAGGTCTATGGGGGGAGATACATGGGCCATCTGGGCAGGGATGCCCTATGGGAAGAGCTGGGGAAGAAGGAGTTTATTTTCCCGGGGCCATGTCCCTGTTGGCAGGTGGCAGGCCTTCCAGACCATGGTGTCGGCCCGGCGGGAGGCAGTGGACTCGGCCCTCCGTGTGCACAACTACTGTGTGGACTGTGAGGAGACCAGCAAGTGGATCATGGACAAGACGAAGATGGTGGAGTCCACAAAGGACCTGGGGCGGGATCTGGCGGGTGTCATTGCCATCCAGCGGAAGCTGTCGGGGCTGGAGCGCGATGTGGCCGCCATCCAGTCCCGTGTGGGCACCCTGGAGCGTGAGTCGCAGCAGCTAATGGAGTCTCACCCTGAGCTGAAGGAGGACATTGGCCGGCGGCAGGCCTACGTCGAGGAGCTGTGGCAGGGCCTACAGCAGGCCCTGCAGGGCCAGGAGGCCTCCCTGGGGGAAGCCAGTCAGCTGCAGGCCTTCCTGCAGGATCTGGATGACTTCCAGGCCTGGCTGTCCATGGCCCAAAAGGCTGTGGCCTCCGAGGACACTCCCGAGTCGCTCCCAGAGGCTGAGCAGCTCCTGCAGCAGCACACAGCCATCAAGGATGACATTGACAGGCACCAGGAGAGCTACCAGCGTGTCAAGGAGTCTGGGGAGAAGGTGATCCAAGGCCAGACTGATCCAGAGTACCTGCTTCTGGGCCAGCGGCTAGAGGGCCTGGACTCCGGCTGGGATGCCCTGCACCGGATGTGGGAGAGCCGTGGCCACTCCCTTGCTCAGTGCCTGGGCTTCCAGGAGTTCCAGAAGGATGCCAAGCAGGCTGAAGCCATCCTCAGTAACCAGGTAGAGGGGCACTCGGGCTGGGGCGGGGGTGACAGCATCAGGTGTGTGGGGGGTATGTGTGCACATGTGCTATAAGGCTCAGGGGGATGAATTTATGCTTTTTTTGGACTCTCTGTGGTCACTAACTGGGAGGGAAATGCTCTTTGCTCCTGGCTATGTGCCTTTTCATGCCCTATGTGACAAACGATGCCTTGTTCTGGGTCAGAAGCCAGAGAAGCAAATTTTGTCCTGGAAGGTTAGAAACTCTATTCACTGGGCACCATGGGGTGGGGGAGGGTGGGAGGCCAAGCCCAAGGAGCAGAGCCCCTTCCTCTCACAACTCTAGGGGTACCGGCCATGCGCCAGCCGTGTGGCTGCACAAGATGCTCCTGCTTGGCAGGTGCCTTGCACCGCTTTCTCGACTTGTCCTCATGGTTCGTCTGGAAACTTGCTTCTGCAGGAATACACTCTGGCCCACTTAGAGCCCCCAGACTCCCTGGAAGCCTCAGAGGCTGGGATCCGGAAGTTCGAGGACTTCTTGGTGTCCATGGAGAACAACAGGGACAAGGTCTTGAGTCCTGTGGACTCTGGAAACAAGCTTGTAGCCGAGGGCAACCTGTACTCAGACAAGATCAGGGAGAAAGTGCAGCAGATTGAGGACAGGTACTGGCTGCCACGGGTCCCGGCTCCCTGGGGCTGCGGAGGGGCTGGGGTGTTGCCTGAAGCCCAGTCCTGCTGACTGTGGCTTCCATTTTCCTTCCAGGCACAGGAAGAACAGTGACAAGGCCCAGGAGGCCTCAGTTCTTCTGAGGAACAATCTGGAGCTGCAGAACTTCCTCCAGAACTGCCAGGAGGTGAGGCTCGGCGTGGCGGGGCACTTTGCAGGAGATTCCCTCTAGAAGCAGAGTGGTCTAGAGCGGGGAAGTCTACAGGGCCCCTTTCTAGCTCGGATTCCCTAGTGGGAAACTCCAGGTACTCAATGGCTGGGTCATTCTCTAGAATCTTCATGTACACTATCTTGGTCTGGTTTTTCCAAATCTGAGAAGTCATTCTCTAATTTTCCAAGTATAGGCCAAGGGTTTCTCAAGAGCAGTCTGAGCATGACCCAAACTAGACTTGCCTGGGCCCTGGACAGGGCCAACTTCTAGGGCACAAGACCTATGTGTCTGTTCCCAAGGGGCCTGTGCTCAGAAGGGCCTCGTGCTTGGTATCATAACATGCTCTTGCTGTCCTGGAATTCTTCATGCCTTTGAACAACTTCATTTTGTACTGGGACCCCATACCAAAATTGTGGAGCCAGTCCTGGCCATAGGTAAAGCCAATTCTTGGGCCCCACTTTGACTTGGGTCAGATGAATCAGAACCTTAAGGGGTGAGAGAGAAAAAGAAGCTTTTTTTTTTGAAGACAGAATCACACTCTGTTGCCCTGAGTAGAGTACTGTGGCATCATAGCTCACAGCAACCTCAATCTCCTGGGTTCAAGTGATCTTCTTGTCTTAGTCTCCTGAGTAGCTAGACTTATAGACACCTGCCATGACACCCCAGGTAGTTTTTCAATTTTAAGTAGAAACAGGGTCTTACTCTTGCTCTGGCTGGTCTTAAACTCCACCTGCCTCAGCCTCTCAGAGTGCTAGGATTAAAGGCATGAGCCACCACACACAGCCTTGAAATAAGCAGTTTAAATGCATCTCTCAGTTAAAGAGCTGGCCTAGGAGGGTGGTCTCTGACCTGCACCTCCCCTCCCAGGCCCTCCATTGCCAGCACTTCCTGTGTGGACTGGGCTTTCCCTCATTGCTTTCTTGCTTGCTTCTTTCCTCAGCCCTGATAACTTTGCTTTTATCTCCCTGTCTTGGTACAAATCAGGCTTGGTGTGGGGCCAGGACATCCTAGAATAAGGAGGCTCCCTCGTCATTGGTTATAGGCTCTGCCCTTGCCTTTTTCCTCAGATAACATTTTTCCTATATTCATAAAAGATTTCTCACCCTACTGCCAAGAGATGGCTTTATCCATCCAGCCAGTAAATACTCATTGAGTTTCTACAAAATGCCAGGCCTTGTCTTTAGGTCTAGAGATAAGGAAGGACTCACCCTGCCTACCTTGGAGGGAGACACACTCAGGCCCACACCCCAGCCCTGCCATGCTGTGGGTTAAGGTGCCTGTGCTGGGACTTAGGGCCCCAGAGAGCGAGATGGGTTCTTTGTTCTTGCACTTCCTCCTCTTCCTGCAGCCAGGAGTAGGCAGCGGTGGGTCCCGCCCTGCCGAAGAGATGCACTCAGGGACAGTCGGGCCCATTCTTTCTGCCCACAGCTCACTCTCTGGATCAATGACAAGCTGCTGACATCTCAAGATGTCTCCTATGATGAGGCACGAAACCTTCACAACATATGGCTGAAGCACCAGGCCTTTGTGGCAGAGCTGACTTCCCATCAAGGGTGGCTGGAGAACATCGATGCTGTAAGTAGTGCGAGTAGGTAGTGGGACCACTCTGCTCACGTATGCATACCTGAGCCAGGTTCCCCACGGGTGACAGACACCATCCTAAAGCTTGCTGGACAGTATAGACCTTGGTGAAACACCTTCTCTAAATAAACCTCCAGAACTCTTACTTGAGCCAGCCCTATTAAGCCTAGTCAAAACTGGTTTCTCTTGGCTGGGCCACCTGAATCTGAGGACAGCCCAGGACATGGAGAACACCCTAGTTAGAGCTCCAGCATCCAGTGCCAGGATTGTATTTGTCATTGTTTGCTCTCCATCGTCCTAACCGTGGCTCCAGCACTGTCCTGCCCAGACCCAGGGGAATGTGTGAGGGAGGTGGCCAGGGTGGTCCAGGGGAGCCCCTAATCCTCATGGCTTGGCTGAGCAACATGAGGGATAGGCATTCACACCCCCTGTGGGTGGCAAACCAAAGGATCCCTCTGTGACGAGCTTGGCCAGTAGCCCATGTCTGATGTGCTTGGCATTAGATCTGGAAACTGCGTGCCCTTGCTCCTTTTTGTTGTAGCTATCCACAAAGAAATAGGCCCAGGAGCCACACGAGGCTGCAGTGTGGTTGTAGGTACGGCCTCTGCAGCCAGACTGACTCCTAAACCTCCTTGTGCCTCAGTTTCTTCATCAGTGAAGAAATACTAGGTACTTGGTGCTTCTAAGGTACTTTGTCACTGAAGGCTAGCCCACAACCTCTGGAACACAGGCAGGTTACCATGCTGGCTGCTTCTGAGTGGGTCGGGAATCTTGGTTTAGCTCCACTGGACCCTGGTCTGCAGCTCCCCACGATGCAGGCTCCATGAGTCATTTGCCCCCAGCGCTGCTCTCCCTGCCTGCCTCCCCCCACAGATAGCTCTGGGGCTACAGACAGGTCTTAGTTGAGCCTCAGCCATGCTCTATGCCTTTCTGACCTCCTTTTAGTAGCCCCTTGTGACCTCCAGGATCAGGGCATCTCCAAAGTGTCTGAGGGTGAGCTTTCCTTCCTCCCTGCAGGAAGGAAAGCAGCTGATGGAGGAGAAGCCCCAGTATGCCTCCCTGGTGTCCCAGAGGCTGGACGCCCTGCACCGGCTCTGGGACGAGCTGCAGGCCACCACAAAGGAGACAGCCCGGCACCTCTCGGCTGCCAGGAGCTCTGACCTACGCTTGCAGACACACGCCGACCTCAACAAGTGGATCAGCGCCATGGAGGAACAGCTGCGGTCAGACGACCCGGGCAAGGACCTGACCAGTGTCAATCGCATGTTGGCTAAACTGAAGGCATGTGAACGGGTTGTAGATCGGAGTGTTAGCAGAGAAGGGGTCGTGGGAGCAAATCTGAGACCTTAAAGTAAATACTCCTCCTGTTCCTCTTAGCTGGACTTGCTTTTGTCATACAAAAATGTCTCCTGCTTCATCTGTCTCCTAGCCCTTTTGCAGTGGGAAGGACAGGGGTCTGAAAGGTTGCAGGAGAGAGATGGGATGGGTTCTCTGAGGAGGGAAGGGTGGGTGGGAGCATCCAGGGAGACTTCCTGGAGGAGGCTGTGCTCAAACTGGACCTTAGAGGATAGTGGGACATGTGAAAATGAAGAGGGGGGAGGGGCTGCCTAGGTGGCAGGGCTGGTGCTGACCCCGTCCTGTGTCTCAGCGAGTGGAAGACCAAGTGAATGTGCGGAAGGAGGAGCTGGGTGAGCTGCTTGCCCAGGTGCCCTCGGTAGAAGAGGAGGCAGGAGACACAGACTTGAGCATCGAGAAGCGGTTCCTGGACCTCCTAGAACCCCTGGGGAGGAGGAAAAAGCAGCTGGAATCGTCCAGAGCCAAGCTGCAGATCAGCCGGGACTTAGAGGATGAGACGGTGCGTGGGCTGCAGCCTCTCCCCACCCCCAGGGCTGTGCCACCAGCTGCCATCAGGGTAGCTGGCTGCTGCCCAGAGCAATTCTTGGCAGCAGATGACTGGTTATCTCACACACACCCCCAATCTCTTAGGGTTATTGGGATGAGGATTATATTAAATGGGAACAGCAAGTTAGCACTTTCCGAATGTTCACTGCTGGTATTGATGGTACAGAATGTGAACCTTGGGGTCCCACAGATTTGGGTTCAGATCCAGCTATGTTACTTTCCCACTGGGTGACCAGGAGCAAGTTATTTTCAACCTCAGTTCCAAATATCTCCATCCGTAAAATGGGGGCAAAATCTTGATGGGTGTTGGGAGGAAGCAGGGAGACATTGGTTAGGACACAGGAAAGGGTGGTCGTGATTGTCATCAGCTGTCCCCTGCCATCTCATCTCTGCAGCTCTGGGTGGAGGAGAGGTTGCCCCTGGCTCAGTCAGCTGACTACGGTGCTAATCTGCAAGCTGTGCAGCTATTCATGAAGAAGAACCAGGTGAGTCCTGCCTCACCTCCAGCCCCTACCCTCCCTACCCCCGTCCGGCGCCCAGGTGGGGGGTGGGGGAGGGACCAGCACAGACTTGCTGACAGCCAGCAGGTTCTTGCTCATACTGGTAGCTTTGGGGTCCCCAAACCATATCTGTCATCTCACAGCAGGAAGAACAGGCCTTGGTGGTTGCAGAGAGAATTCTGGGAGGATCACAGGGGAAGACTCCTGTGAGGTCCCAGAGGCCTGGCCTGGGGTTTAACATGTTTGCATAGTTCTACGTTCAGTGGCTTCCCTAGGAGGAGGCTGGTTTCCCCTCACAACACCACCCTGTGTGTTCAGGGCTGAGCTTATGTTGTGGGGGGGTCCTCAGGGTAAATACGCCCCATTTCTCTGGACATGAGAGGATACTAATGGTGGCTCATGCCCCATTAGAAAGCCACTATACTTGGACTCTGAGCCCTTGGAGCAAATAGCCATCTACTGGCTCTCTCTTAGGCCTAACTGGGAACTGGGCATGATCAGAGGCCATACATTTCCTCTTGTGTCTGGGCTACAGCGGGAGCCTAAATTGTTCGAGGGAGCCAGCTGTGTGGAGTTGCAGTGGCTTCCTGCCTGGCGAGGGTTGGCGGAGGAGGTGGGGGGAGGCTGGCTAAAGACCCTTCTCCTGGACAGAAAATCCCTCCCCCTTCCTGGTCTGCTCTCTGGGCCAGCAAAGAGAGCCTGGGAATTTAGGCTCCAGAGAAAAGCAGTGTGTCCTGGGTGCTCCCATCAGTATAGTAGCTGCCTGAGGAAGGACGATTACGGCACACAGCATACCCTTCCCCAAGATGTCAGCAGCTGGCATCTGCTCGCAGCACTGTCTGAGCCCAGCACCAGTGCCCAGGCCTTAATTATATTCAGAGAGGTTTCTTCAACGCTTCTTTGGGCACTTTGCTTCCAGCTAACATGATCTAGTCACAGAGACTGCAGCAGCCACATCCAGAGAGCTGGGCTGGAAGATGACAGAGACCCAGGCTCAGTTAATGCCACGCCTCAGTCAAGGGGAAAGGCTGGCAGGAGATAGCATCCTTGGGGTCTCATTTTCTTCTGTTATAAAATGAGCCGACTCTAGTCTGTCCAACACTGAAGACTTTTGATTTTGTCCACCCTCAATGAGTGGCATTGTTCAAAGGTTTTCAACTCCCCTGCCTGCCAGTTGCTATTTTAGGAAAAGGACAAGAAAATATGGGTGAGGTTCCCCCAAACAAGAAGGGAAAGGCAGCCTCTGGGGAGAATGCGACTGCCCTAGTAGATACTATTTTAGGCTCACCTGGCTAAAGCATGAATACAATTTTGTCATTTCCTCACTTAAAATCCTCCATTGCAGTGGTTCTCAAACTTCAGTGTGCATTCAGCCAGAGGGCATGTTAAAACACAATTGACCAGGCGCCACCCCCCATCCACTGAATCACACTCTGGGGACGTGTGTCTAATAAGAGCCCAGGTGATGCGGATGCTGCCCAGGGACCTCACTAACCAGTCAAGTACAGCAAACCTGCGAGGTCCTGCCTGAGCGGCTCTTACCCCCAGCTGCACATTCAAATCACCTAGAGAGGCTCAGCACCTATAGCTCAGTGAGTAGGGTGCCAGCCACATACACTGAGGCTAGAACAGTTTTGAGCCCGGCCCAGGCCTGCTAAACAACAATGACAGCTGCAGCCAAAGAATGGCTGGGCGTTGTGGTGGGTGCCTGTAGTTCCAACTACTTGGGAGGCTGAGGCAAGAGAATCACTTGAGCCTTAGAGTTTGAGGTTGCTGTGAGCTGTGACGCCACAGCACTCTACCCAGGGTGACATAGTGAGACTCTACCTCAAAAAAATAAATAAATAAAATCACCTAGAAAGCATTTTGTTTGTATGTATGTATGTATTTATTTTTGAGACGGAGCCCCACTCTGTTGTCTGGGCTAGAGTGCCATGGCATCGCCCTCACTGACAGCAACCTCAAACTCCTGGGTTCAAGCAATCCTCCTGCCTCAGCCTCCTGAGTAGCTGGAAACATGGGTGACACCACACCTGCCTAGTTTTTCTATTTTTAGTAAAGCTAGAAATCTCGTTCTTGCTTAGGCTGTTCTCAAACTCCTGAGCTCAAGGGATCCTCCTGCCTGGGCTTCCCAGACTGCTAGGATTACAGGCATGTGCTACTGAGCCCAACCTCTTAGGGAAATTTTTTTTTTTTTTTAGACAGAGTCTCACTCTGTAGCCCTCAGTAGAGCACCATGGCATCACAGCTCAAAGCAACTTCAGACTCTTGGACTTAAGTGATTCTCTTGCCTCAGCCTTCCAAGTAGCTGGGACTACAGGCACCCACCACAACATCTGGCTATTTTTTTGTTGCAGTTGTTTAGCTGTCCCAGGCCGAGTTCAAACCTGCCACCCTTGATGTATGTGGCTGGCACTGTAGTCACTGTGCTACGGGTGCCACACCTAGATTGTAAGCTTTGTGAGTATAGGCGTTTTGTTTATCTTTCTCTGCTACCTAGGACAGGGTCTGGTACTTAGGAAAAACTTAATAAATATTCATTAAATGCATGAAGACAGGGAAGAAGATGTCATAAGTAAGCATCCCTCACAGGAAACTAGAAACTAATTGCTTAAATTAGGGTACTGTGCAGATCTTGGGAAAGTAGAGGCTTGAAAATATGTTTGTTTGTTTGTTTGCTTTTTAAAGCAATTGCAGAGACCACAGAAATAGTCAAAATTGAGATCTGAGCATAAAGTGTAAAAATGCACTTCATTAGTTTCAGTGACTACAGATATGGCTATTTTAAACACTGGCAGTCATGCATCACCCATGTGGACTGCACCTGCCCCTACCTTCCAAAAAGTAAATAACACATGCATCAGGACCTCCTGAAGAGAAAGGTGACCCAGTCACCAGAATGGGAGGAAAAGTCCACTTTGGTGACCAAAGGCTTAAACAAGAAACAAAACACACCTCACAAAAGATATGAGAATAGAAGTTAAGAAAACTAAAACCTGAGGTTGAACAAGAGGCAGTTGTCAACTCTTTATTTATTTATTTATTTGGAGACAGAGTCTCACTCAGCACTGGGTAGAGTGCTGTAGCATCATAGCTCACAGCAACCTCAAACTCTCGGGCCCAAGCTATCCTCTTGCCGCCTCCTCCCAGGGAGCCTGGACTGTAGGCACCTGCTACAACATCCAACTAATTTAGTAGAGATGGGGTCTTGCTCTTGCTCAGGCAAGAACTCCTGAGCTCAAGCAAGCCATCTGCCTTGGCTTCCCAAACTGCTAGGATTATAGCACATGCACAGCCTCAACTCTTCTTTTATATGGAGCAAAAGCTGCTAAAATAGGTGTGGTGCCTGTGGCTCAAAGGAGTAAGGCACCGGCTCCAGCCAAAAACTGCAAAAAATAAAAGCTGCTAAAATATCAAAAAGGCCATTTCCTTCCCTCTAACACACACTCCTAAGAAATGAAGCTCTGGCTCGGTGCCTGTGGCTCAAGCCGCTAAGGCGCCAGCCATGTACACCTAAGGTGGCGAGTTCGAATCCCCAGCCCGGGCCCGCCAAACAACAATGATGGCTGCAACTAAAAAATGGCCGGGCGTTGTGGCGGGCGTCTGTGGTCCCAGCTACTTGGGAGGCTGAGGCAGGAGACTCGCTTGAGCCCAGGAGTTGGAGGTTGCTATGAGCTGTGATGCCATGGCACTCTACCCAGGGGGATAGCTTGAGGCCCCGTCTCAAAAAAAGAAAAAGAAATGAAGCTCTGAGGAGCCCAGAAAGGAAGGGGTACCAGCCTGGGCTCAAACCGCAGCTCTGCAGCCCAGCACTGGTATGTGCCGGCTTCCACATGTTCACATCACCTGACCACTGAGTGGTAAAGGATGGCACATGGCAAGTGGTCAGTGGAAGGGTGAGAGGGGCCGAGGGTGTCAGACCCACACCCCTACCACAGTGGGAAGGCCCTGCCTGAGCCCCTCCTTCTGGCCACAGACCCTGCAGAATGAGATCCTAGGCCACACGCCGCGGGTAGAAGATGTACTGCAGAGAGGGCAGCAGCTGGTGCAAGCGGCGGAGATTGACTGCCGGGACCTGGAGGAGCGCCTTGGGTGCCTGCAGAACTCATGGGACAGGCTGCGGGAGGCAGCGGCCGGGCGGCTGCAGCGCCTACGGGATGCCAACGAGGCCCAGCAGTACTACCTGGACGCAGGCGAGGCTGAGGCCTGGATTGGGGAGCAGGAGCTCTACTTCATTGATGAAACCCCTGAGGTCTGCTGGGACAGGCCGAGGTGGAGAGGGAGGGCTGGGGTGGGCAGCAGCACAGGAGCCCACAGCCTCTCTCAGGCTCACCCCTCAGGTGCACAGGCTGCAGTGGGGGACCCTCAGCCTGCTGAAGTTTGCCCGACAAGAGTGCTCCGCGTTTCTTGTAATGGGTATTGTACTGGGGAACATCCATGGGGGAGAGGGGTGAGAGATGAGCTGAGGGGCTCTCAAAACCGCAGAGACAGGATGCTTTCGTGGGGACAGAGATTGGAGGCAGCCCTGAAAGGAAGAGTAATTGTAGGGGAAGAATCAGGAGGGTCGGATGATGCTGGAAACTGAGAACATGGGAAGGAACATGTGTGGCTGTCCTGCCCAGGCACCTCTGGGAGCTGGGCTATAACTTGCTAAGGGAGGGAATATGGCCCAGCTGAGCCCTGACATTGACATGGCTGCTGCCTCCAGGATGAAGAGGGTGCCATCGTGATGCTGAAGCGGCACCTGCGGCAGCAGCGCGCAGTGGAGGAGTATGGGAGGAGCATGAAGCAGCTGGCCAGTCGTGCTCAGGTCCTGCTGGCTGCCGGTCACCCCGAGGGGTGCGTACGCCTCCTAGGGCCATCTGGCCAGGGCATGGGCACAAATGACCAGGCCCACCAGCCAGTGTCCCAGCAGGTCTAAGAGGTGAAAATGGGAGCAGTTTCCCCCAAACTAGGGACTGTTGATGGGCCTGATTCCAGGTTATGCCTTCTTTTGTGTGAGTAACTTTGAACTAGACCAGCTAAGTCCTGGTTTGCAACAGGAGCAGAGAACGAAATAGCAAAAGTACCCTCTTGGAAAACTGAGAGCTCTGTTCTTTCAGAGTTAGTATATGCTAAGAGAAACCGAAGACCACTTCTGCTTTCCTTTTTAAGGTCCAGAAAGTAATTCAGGACCTCAGTGTCCCAGCAGGACTATTCTATGGGAGCAAAGGCAGAACCCCTACCTGTCTGCGCTGTGCAGTGTGTGGGTTCTGCATAAATGGGGATGTACTGGGCTAGACCCCACAGTGTGGCCTTTTCCTCAGCCGCCTATAGGCAGCTAGGGGCCCCTGAGTCTGAGCCTGTGGTACATCCTGTCCTCCCAGAGGAGCTAAGCAGGGCCCCAGCCGCTGGAGCTGACTCAGATAGTACTTTGCCCTTGTGTCCATGAGCTCCCCAGAGTGAGGGGCGCTGTGAGAGGCACCCCTCCAGAACACTACTCTGTCATCCTTCAAGGCATCATGGTCTTGGAGGTACCTCCTTATTTCCCCAGCTCCCTCACCCCCTCCTAACAAAGACCCTGTCATTGTCCTCACTTCACTCCCCTCCTGTCCCTGTGGGGGGCAGGGAAACAGCAGGTGAGCTCCTCTGAGCCACTGCTCTGGGTATTTGGTTGGTGTCTCTGAGGATGTTCTTGGATTGGATTCCAGGGAGCAGATAATCAGACTTCAGGGGCAAGTGGACAAGCAGTATGCGGGGCTGAAGGACAGGGCAGAAGAGCGTAAGAGGAAGCTGGAGAACAAGTACCACCAGTTCCAGGTGAAGAGGGAGGTCGACGACTTGGAGCAGTGGATTTTGGAGAAGGAGCTAGTGGCCTCTTCCCCAGAACTGGGGCAAGACTTTGACCATGTCACTGTGAGTAGTTATAGCTCCCGCTGGCTTTGTCTTCCTCAGTGCAGTAGGTGGGGTCGCACCACTCCAGACACACGTGGCACCCTGCCAGTTGCAGTGCCATAAGACGTGGTCACCCCAGTGTTAAATGTGACCAGAGGACTTGGGCCTGTCTGGGGAACGTATAGTTGCCACCTGGGAGAGTCGGAGGTGAAGCTGGTGATGTCCACCTGCCCCTGCGCCCTGATAACTGCATTTCTCTCTGCCCTGTGTCCAGCTGCTCCGGGACAAGTTCCGGGACTTTGCCCGGGAGACAGGGGCAATTGGGCAGGAGCGGGTGGACAACGTGAATGCCGTCATTGAGCGGCTCATTGATGCGGGCCATGATGAGGCAGCCACGCTTGCCGAGTGGAAGGATGGGCTGAATGAGATGTGGGCGGACCTACTGGAGCTCATCGACACACGCATGCAGCTGCTGGCCGCTTCCTATGACCGGCACCGCTACTTCTATACTGGTGCCGAGATCCTGGGCCTCATTGACGAGAAGCACCGTGAGCTGCCTGAGGACGTGGGCCTGGACGCCAGCACGGCCGAGTCCTTCCACCGGGTGCACACGGCCTTCGAGCGGGAGCTCCACTTGCTGGGCGTACAGGTGCCTCTGCCCCTCACTGCCACCAGTGGGCTCCAGACTGCAGCTTTCTGGGGGGGGGGCGGTGTTGGGTTCTGCCTGGCTTCCAGAGGAGGGGAAACCCCTAAATGTGTGCCAGGAGATTCTGCCTCTGTAGAGAGTCTCAGGGCAGGGAGGCATTCAGAAGCTCTCTAGCTCATAGCCAAAGCACACCATGCCCCCTGGTTGTGCAGTACTATCAGCCAACACAAACAGTACTTGCCCAGCAGTGGGCGCTGTTCTAACAATATATGTATCACTAGACCCTTGTAGCTGTCCCCACAGGTAGGCACTGACATGGTCCCTGTTATCTAGTGAGTAAGGGGGGCTGCAGAGGTCACTAAGCTGCCCAGGAACCCACAGGCAGTGGCAACCTAGCTATAGTGCCCACGTGCTTAGCCACCAGGCAATTCAACCTTTTTACGTTGAATCCAAAGTATGCCAGGATCTGCTCAGACTTTAGGGTTCCCCAGAGCTTGGTGTGATTAAAAAGGACAAATCAGGCTCAGTGCCTGTAGCTCAAGTGGCTAAGGCGCCAGCCACATACACCTAAGGTGGTGGGTTCAAATCCAGCTCAGGCTGCCAAACAACAATGACGGCTACAACCAAAAAATAGCCGGGGGTTGTGGCAGGCACCTGTAATCCCAACTACTTGGGAGGCTGAGGCAGGAGACTCGCTTGAGCCCAGGAGTTGGAGATTGCTGTGAGCGGGAAGCCAACGAAACCCAACCAGGGGGGACAGCTTGAGGCTCTGTCTCAAAAAAAAAAAAAGGACAAATCAAGGAGCCCCAGTTGCCAGGGGTTCCCACAGCCTCCTTGAGTTGTAGGAGAGGTGGGCTGGTGCCATCCTAGGCCAGTCCCGGAAGTTTGGGGACAGAACACCAAGGTAGGTGAGACTCCTGTTTCACCCAAAAGGGGACTTCTTAGGGATCTGTCCCCCGCCCCCAGGTAGAAGTGGGGCCTGGTGTGTGGCTGCTGGGCTGGGGGTGTCGGGGCCCTAAGACAGGTGCAGCCCAGGAGGCTGCAGGAGTGAGGGCTCATTGCCCCTGGCACTGGCCTCAATCAGGCCTGGTGCAGTCCCTTCCAGGAAAGGAAGCATGTGGAGTGGCTGAGAACCCCAATGCTGGTGCCAGCTGTACCCTATACTAGTGTGAGGGACCTGGGGCCAGTTACTCAGCTTCCTCATCTCAGAAACAAGGGTGGTGACAGTAGCTCTTTCCTGGGGTGTAAAGATGAAGAGAGTTAATAGAGAGTGTTCAGAACAGCACCTGCCACATAGGCACTCAATTATTGCACTTCTAAGGAGATAAAGGGGCAGAGTCCCTCTCACTCCCAAGTCCTTACAAAGTGTAAGGGCTGCCCTGGGTGGGCAGAGATATCAAGGCAGGGTGCTTTCCCCGACAGTACTCACTGGCTGAAGCTCCTGCCCTCCAGCAGGGAGCAGCCTTGAGGAGACAGACACCCAAGATGTTGAGGAAAAATGTTTGTTTTGGCCTGACCACAGGTACAGCAGTTCCAGGATGTGGCCACACGCCTGCAGACGGCATATGCTGGGGAGAAGGCAGAAGCCATCCAGGACAAGGAGAGGGAGGTGTCAGCCGCATGGCAGGCACTGCTTGATGCCTGTGCCGGGCGCCGCACCCAGCTAGTGGACACAGCGGACAAATTCCGGTTCTTCAGCATGGCCCGTGACCTCCTCTCCTGGATGGAGAGCATCATCCGACAGATCGAGACCCAGGAGAGGCCCAGGTGAGGGGCATCCTCAGGGCACCTCCACCATCTGCTATGGTAGGAGTTGGGGAGGCCAGGGTGCTGCACTGGGGCTCCTGCCTAGATGGGGATGGTCCTGGCCTATGGGGTACCTGGGAATCACTGTGGCCCGTGAGGCCTGAGGCTGGGGCTGGGCCTGGATCTGGGCATAGATAGACTAGCTCAGCTTCCACTGGGAGAGCCGACCATTTCAGAGTAAGGAGAGTCCTGAGGAGGGGAAGAAGACATCTTTTAGGTTTTCCACTGGGGATGGTGACCACTGCTGTCAGTGAGAGTAAGGGACTCACATGGCCAACACCGGGCAGGTCCAAGACTGTTCACTCCTCTCCCAGCCCTGGGATGTGGGGGACCATCCCCCAAACTCAGGAAGAGGTGGAGAGACACCTGGGCAATGAGTGTCTCGGCAATGAGTGTCTCGGCAATGAGTGGGCCGAGAGCTCTCCCCCCAAGTTTGCGTCAGTTTCACAGTTTTAGCAGCCCATCTCCATCCCTCTGCCCCCAGGGTGCCTGTACTGATGGGTATACTTTAATTTTTTTTTTATTTTTATTTCTTTAGTTTTTGGCCAGGGCTGGGTTTGAACCCACCACCTCTGGCATATGGGGCCGGCGCCCTACTCCTTGAGCCACCGGCACCCATACTTTAATTTTTAACATCTTTACCGTAATCAGCCAGTGGTTTTTAGTATATTCACGGTTACATGACTACCACCACAGTGTACATTTAGATTTTCATCACTCCCAAAAGAAACCTGTGCCTTAGCAGTCACCGTCCTCATTTCCCTCCCCCTGCAGCTCCCAGCAACCACTACTCTACTGTCTCTCTGGATTCACCTATTCCGATGTTTCATATAAATAGCATCATACAACATGTGGTCTTTCAACTTAGTGTTTTCAAGGTCCATCCATGAGGCTTGTCATAGTGTGAATCAGCACGTCTTTCCTTTTCATTGCTGACTCATGTCCCCAGGCTTCTTTTGAGGTTCCTGCACCCCTTGCCCATGTCCTAGCCATTGACCAGGAGCACACCAGGGCATCAATGTTGCTGCTGGGGCCAGGCTGATAGAGGACTTCCCGGGTGGCCAGAGAGAGAGGAAGGAATGAGGTCATATTCCTGCAGGTAGCAGAGAGGTGGCCTATGTGCTTGGGACTCAGAGACAGGCTAGAATGGCCTTGTCCCAAACTGCCTCTCCTGCCCTTTCCCTGTGGTCCAGGGATGTCTCCTCAGTGGAACTGCTCATGAAGTATCACCAGGGCATCAATGCAGAGATTGAAACCCGGAGCAAGAACTTCAGTGCCTGCCTGGAGCTTGGCGAGTCCTTGTTGCAGCGGCAGCACCAGGCCTCAGAGGAGGTGAGAGGTGCTGAGGTGACCCCTGTCCTCACTCATGCCAGCCAGCCAGGCTGCTAGAGGGTGGACCTGTGCGCTCCAGATTTTCTGAGAGGCTTCTTTCACTTGCAGAGCTCAGGGGAAGGCCCAGGATTGCAGCCAAACTAGGCCGCTCTCCTGCCACAAGGGGCTGGCTGCTCAGGAGGGGAGCACTGGCTCATGACCTGCCTCATACCCACGTGTGCACACACGTTGGAGTCAGTGACCCTGTCATACATAGGTGAGGCACATGTGCCTCAGACAGAGGTTAAATCACTTGTCCAAGGCTACACAGCTGGCAAGGAACAGGGCCAGGGCTTGAAGCCCGAGTGGTGTGACAAAACCTGGCATTCTTCACAGGATCCATTTGGGCACTGCCTCAGACAGGGGAAGGCAGAGAAAGCCTGAGCCTTTCTCGCTTTCATCCTCACAGATCAGGGAGAAACTGCAGCAAGTTGTGTCCAGGAGGAAGGAGATGAATGAGAAGTGGGAGGCCCGCAGGGAGCGGCTCCACATGTGTGAGTGCAGTCTAGCAAATGGGCCCTGGGGCAGTGGCCAGAGCCCTGCTGATGGTGGGGAAGGGGGAGAAGCAACAAGGGGTGGATTTTCACCAATGCCTAGAGAAACCCCCCCCATAGCATCACTTGTAGGCAAAGTCAGGGGTCTTGGGGGTCCAAACCTAAGACGAAGCAGACATGCTACAGGCAGCCTGTCCCTACCCAGCTGCATGCCCCCGCACCCAGCCTGCCTCTGCCCCACCTGCCTTTCCCCCCATGCCCAGGCTGGTCTCCCTGCAGAGCTATGACTTAGGTAAGGGTCAGGGTGAGGCTCTAGTCTACACCCCAGATGTTTGTTCTGCAGAGTGTTGACACAAAAAGAGCTCTGTCCTCCTACAGCTGGACACTGAGGGAAGGTGACAGTAGCCCCCACTCGAGGAACAGCTGTAAGCCCAGAAGTCCCAGGCTGACCCCATGGCTGCTTGTCCACTGTTATGTGAGACAGCCAAGAGAAGACAGCTTCTTTTTTTTTTTTTTTTTTTTTTGAGACAGAGCCTCAAGCTGTCCCCCTGGGTAGAGTGCTATGGGATCACAGCTCACAGCAACCTCCAACTCCTGGGCTTAAGCGAGTCTCCTGCCTCAGCCTCCAAAGTAGCTGGGACCACAGGCACCTGCTATAATGCCCACCTATTTTTTGATTGCAGCTGTCATTGTTGTTTTTTGGCAGGCCTGGGCTGGTGTATGTGGCTGGCGCCTTAGCCACTTGAGCCATAGGCGCCGAGCCCAGAAGACAGTTTCTCAAAGAGAGGTGTCTGAACTACCTTTATTTTCAAAGTAGAGTTTTTCCAAATTAATGTGTTTTTAAAAGACAATTATTGATCAAGACAGGCTGGGGGAGCCATGTGGGGATGGAGTGTCCATGCAGTTTAGGGACAGCCACGAAGGCCAGCTGCCTGACCACTAGCTCCCATGTCTATCTGCTGAGCTGCGCCCAGGCCCTGCGGGTACAGACTGTGTTGCTAATGTCCTGGCCTTTTGGGGGTTCTGTGGCTTGTTCCCTGTGGCAGTGCTGGAGGTGTGTCAGTTCTCGAGAGACGCATCCGTGGCCGAAGCATGGTTGATTGCCCAGGAGCCCTACCTGGCCAGCAGGGACTTTGGACACACGGTGGATAGTGTAGAGAAGCTCATCAAGAGGCATGAGGCTTTTGAGAAGTCCACAGCCAGCTGGGCAGAGCGCTTTGCTGCCCTGGAGAAGCCCACCACGGTAAGTAGGGGGACTGGAAAGGGGGCTCAGGTCAGGAGCTCTAGGCTGGTTATTAGGGGCTTAGGATGGCGTGACAGGCTTGGCCAGAGGGAGGGTGGGAAGAAAGACAAGCGGCAGGAAGTACTGACTAATGAACACACAAGACAGAAGGGCTGGCCCCAGGGCGAGCAAATGCCAGGTGTGTTAGGGTGCAGGTGTGGCTCCTCAGTGCCTGTCCTGATCCCTGGCCTCTTCCTCCCCTAGCTTGAGCTTAAAGAACGCCAGACCCCAGAGAGACCCACAGAGGAGACTGGGTGAGTGGGAGCTGTGTGTCCCAGGTGCCATGTAGGGGGCAGGGTTCGGGTGCTTTTCATCAGAAACCTGACTTTGGAACAAGACATGCCTGCATCTCACACCTGGGTGGCTTGTCAGAGAAGTGCAGAATGTCTGGAGGTTCCCCCACAAGGGCTGGTGCGGGATAAGGGGGTGGAGAGCAATACAATCAGGGTTAAGCCTCCCCTTGGGAACCACCCAGCCCAGCCCATGCCCTGCAGACCATTTTGCGTGAAACCCAGCTCATTTCTGGAGATCTCCCTTGGCTTTCCTAGGAAGCCTCTGGGCAGCTCCTTGCTGAGCACCTGCAGGCTGTCAGGGCCACCCAGACAGGGAGACAGTTGTTGCGGGGTCCCTATGGGTGTGGGGGGAAGCCAGGCCTTGGAGGGAGGCACTGGTCTCAGAGGTGCTTGTTTTTAAAGAGAGGCTATGTTTTCCTTAGGCCTCAAGAGGAGGAGGGCGAGACAGCAGGGGAGGCTCCCCGAGTTCACCGCACAGCCACTGAGAGAACGTCCCCGGTCAGTTTCCTGTCCCATTTGTCTAGTTCCTGGGAGTCACTGCTGCCAGAGCCAGCTCATCCCTACTAGGCTTAGCCGGGGCAGAAGGCAAGGGTGACTGCAACCCACTCCCCACACTCTGTCCCGCCTCTGCACCCCTCTACTTTACTACTTAGGTTTTCTAATTCTTAGAATGCTTCCCCTCTTCCCTTCAACCCAGAAGAAACTGACATGATTCTATTAGTTTGGTTTTATCTAGTCTAATAAATTTTATTGTATAAATACATCACCATCTACATCAGGGAGACAACTTTATCCAGAGATGAATCATGTTTGTACACAGTCCCTTGTCCCAGTCTCCTTGGAACTCTGGGCTCACTTCAGTGCTCCCCCATATACACAAGTATATTCATGCACATGCTAATACACAGGTAACACACATACATATGTGCTGGTGCACAAACACTCATACCCTCGTGTGTACCCACTTGTACACACACACTAGTGCACACACATGCCAGGAGGCTATCCCATCTGCTCACTGACCCCAAGCACTTTCAGCAGGGAAGTAGGGACAGCCACCCTTCCAGCAGTCCTGTGCTCCTATGCAGAGCCCTCTTACTCTTCCCACTTCCCTGGCAAAACGCCTGCAGGTCAGTGAGCCTCACAGAAGTAAAGAGACTCCCAGGGCACTGGGTAATAGGGCCCAGCCCCCCAGCTTTCAGGAAAGGAGGGTGGTCTCAGAGGCCTGGCTGGGATGAGGGGGACTAGACAAGCCAGATGCCAGAGGTATAGGGTGTGTGCCTGGAGCAGGCCCTGAGGACCCTGTTAGGGCCTGTGAAGGGACCTGGGAGGCTGTACCCAAGGTTTAGGGAGCAGCTCATAGGGAAGGAGACACCAATTCAGCACTTGGCTTGCATGACTTCACCACTGCATGCACCCCTGCAGCATGCCATGCTGGGGCTCAAGGGACCAATAGATCCTTTGTGTACCCCACCCCTCCAGGTGCATAGGTGAACTTGCCAAAACCTCCAGGAGGTGAGGGTTAGGAAGATTGGGAGTCTAAGGGGAAATTTTCAGTACTCCAAGAAAATGTACATACAGAATCCCTGACAGGCCCAGATTTAAGCCCTTCCCACCCTCTCCATTCTCTGAGTGTAAGACAGACACACACACACATACACACACACACCCACACCTCCCTCTGCTGCCTCCAGTCTGGCCAGAGTCCTCCCATTCTGAGCTGCAACCATCCCATTGTGGCCAGCAGAGAGCACTGCCAGGCTTTCGCTGAAGAGTCCCTCTTGGTCCCTCTGAAGCTCCATGGTGGTGTTGGGGCCCTCCCTTCCCTGTCTATGGTGAACTGTGAGTGTCTCAGGCCATTTTCCCCAGCAACAGCCCCCACTGGAAGGACAGAGAACTCTGGGGACTGGAATGGCCTGCAGACATGGCTGGGGCTGTCCCTGCCTCCCGCCTGCGCCTGCTTCTGCTGTGTGTCCCTGTGTGTCTGCATGTGCCAGCATCCTGGTGTGCGGGCGCCCCTTGGTAACCACCATCAATCACTGTCTGTGTCGTGTACGTCCACGCGAATGTATTACATGTGCATCAGAGCCGCCTCCCACCAACTCAATGGGTGTGGGGGGAATAAAACCTGCTTGGACCTGAGTGTGTCTCTGGGGGAAGGAGGAGAGAGTCTGCGTTGGAGACCTTTCCAGAGAGCCAGCCCCTCCACCAGATGGGCAAACTAGCCTGTGCCCGCTACCAGAAAGAAACCAGATGGTCAATCACATGAACCAGACTCAAGGAAACAAAATTCCTCACGGAAACAGAATTCCTGCTGCTTCTCCTTCCTGAGCCCCTTAAGTTTTCATGAGGACCCATGAAACTCAGAGGGGCTCTAATACCCAATCACTCCTTGACAAGGAGAGGACGACGGAGCCCACACAGGCCGGGAAAATCCAGCCCAGCTTTGGAAGGCTCCTCACCAAGCCCTGGGACTGCCCCTCACAGAACCTCAGGCCTGTCCTGGAAGGGGCGCTTTCTGCTGCTCCCTCTCTCTGGGATAGGCCTAGGTGGCAGTGGCTCTCCTGCTGGTCCTGTGTGTGCTCTGGTTCTAGTGTTGGTGCCAGTAGGATAGATCACGCAGTGTTGCTTTGTGTAAAGCCCCTCACTTGTGCATGTTGGCTTCCTGCTGGGGGGACAGTGCACCAGGCACCCTTGCCCTGGCCTGGACAGCTACACCCACAGGGCAGCCACCCTGCAGGTCCCTTCCTGTGTGTGCACGCGCACCCATGTGTGTACTTGGTGACAGGGGCTGGCAGCCCTTGCATCAGCCTTTTCCTCAGCACCTGACTGTGCAGTCCCCTTGCTTTCCCTCACCTCTTGCTTTTCAGATTAGCACACATCCTGATAAAATCGCATCCCTTCATATGGGTGAGTGCACATGCGCACATCAGGCCACGCAGAAGAAACAGGGTGTCGCTCTCAAAGATGAACTGCTAGGGTAGAAGTCGGCATGCCCCAGTCAGTGTTCTAGTCCTTAATTCTGTTGGAACCTTCCTGTGTGGTTTCAGATAAACTCCAAGTCTCCTTGCTCCTATAAAGCCCTCTCTGCAGGATTACAGAAAGTCTGAAACATTCCTACATGTCAGCAGAATAGCAAATTAAAGGGAGGGGTGGGGAGAGGTGGTTCCCCGACTCTGCAGTCCCTACCGGCTTGCCAGGTGCCAGCTGGTGTGAAGCAAGGAACCAGAAGGGGTCAGAGAAGAGAAAGGGCCCGGGTGTTTGCTCTTGTCACTACTGGGGGGAGGTGGAGGGTTGGACCTCTGCTGCAGGCAAGGTTAGGGTGTCCAGGATCCTGAGGGGTGCCCAGAGACTGATGCAGGTCCCCTTCCTCTGGGGGTGGCTCTAGGAAAGCCCTGGGGTCCTGCTGAGTGTCCCTCCCTCCCAGGCTCTGGGTGCCTCAGAAGCCCCACGGTGACATCTGTGCTGAGGTGCTCTTTTCCCCTGTGAGGTGAAGGAGGTGGATTTCATGGAGAAATGGCATTGAAGATGATACAAGTCTCCACAGGCCTGGGATATATTCCCAGCACTCTGGTTCCTGCTCTGGGGATAGAAGCAGGGAACTTTAGAAACTCACACAACAGGACTGCAGTGATGACTTGCATGCCATCAATAAAAGGGGCCGGTGTTCCTTTGGTCTATGACAATAACAAGTCTCTTTCGCAGGGCTCACTGGGACAAACATGCCCTGCCTGCCTCCAGGCCTCAAGTCTAGATCTAGTCTGTAGTGCAGCAGGGACCTGGGATGGGAGGCCATTCCAGGAAGCAGCTGCCGAATACCTCACATCGCCACGTGTCTTGTCAGGACAGGGACAGCGCACACACTGTCAGGACTGCCTGCAGCAGCCTCTGCAGAGAAGGGCTGAGCCCAGGGAGTGCCTATCCCTCCGTTCATCTCAGAGTTTGAGTGTGGCTTCAGGAAAGTAGCCAGTGAGTGCGAGGGGTAGTTCCCAGGGGCTGAAGGGACACTGGGTTGTAGCCAGGACCACCTTTCAGCCAGCACCTGGCTGGTTCCTGCCTGGTTCCTGCCACCGTCATACCTTGGCAACTTGGGCACCTCTGCCAGTTGTGGCCTTTCTAGGGCAACTGGGAGCTTTAACCAGCCAGCAGTGGCAGGGCTGTGGTGTCCTTGGGTGGAGGCGACAGGGGTGTAGAGAGGGCAGCTGTGTTTTTTGCCCCAGTAAGCGTTCCCAGTCTTTCCCCTCCCTCTAGAAGAGCTATTCTTTCAGACATTCTGCAGTGAATGCAAATCCCACGTTTATTGGTAGTGGGCAGACTGAGCTGGAAAGAACAGCAGTTTTCCCCCAAACCTGGGTGTGGCCCTGTCTCCCCAGGATGCCTGAGTCAGCGTGGCAGGGTTGTGTCTGCCTGCAGTCTGGCACCACGCACTGGCTCCCTGGGGAAACCTGCTCTAGGCTTTATCTGGACACCTGCCCACTGCTGGGCGTGCCCTGCTTTCTGCTGTGGTCAGACTCCATCTTCCTGGCCCCCCTGCTCTGAAGATTCTTCCTGAGTTCATTCTTCCAAGCTGTGTTTCAAAGCTTCCCAGGTACTGATGGCCTCAGAATGAAACTCGGCTAACATTGGAGGCATCTCGGAAATGGGTTTAAAGTTGACAGTGTAACCATTGCGGGTGGATCTGGTGGGGAAGTCAGATCCTCTAACCCTTTCTAGTTAGTGCTGAGTATCTGGTTTACGGGTCACTGAGAGATTGAGAAGCCACCAGCCTCTCCTGGCCAGAGGCCCCAAGAGACCACACAGATGGTGGGCATGGTGAGGACAGCTCCCGAGGAAGCCTCATTCTCTTCCTCCACTGGTGGCCATGGGCCGGGTCTCCAAGGGGACCATGCACACTGCTATTCCTCTGTCCCTTCACTCCCTTTCCCTGGTGGCCTGCTCTCTACATCCCCTCTGTCATCTTGACCAGCCCCCCATCCCGTGGCCACCTGGAACAGAGCGGGACCCTGGTGGGGAGGACAGTGTTGAGTTACTCTGCTCCCTACCCCACTTCCCCTGGCCTGCAGTTCAGCCACTCTCACTGTCCACCCCAGCCTCAGCTACCCTGCCTCATCCTCTGCTAAGAAACAGCTCCTGCTTTCTCATTGAAGGCATTTGTCTCTGCTCAGCTTCAGTGGCCAGCTCTTCATCTCTTTGGCTGCTATTCCTTTTACTCTCCTTGCAAATAACTTTTTTATGAACAGCCTTCTCAGCCCATCTAGTGATAGCTTTTTTCTTTTTTTTTTTTTGAGACAGAGCCTCAAGCTGTCCCCCTGGGTAGAGTACCGTGGCATTACAGCTCACAGCAACCTCCAACTCCTGGGCTCAAGCGAGTCTCCTGCCTCTGCCTCCCAAGTAGCTGGGACCACAGGCGCCCGCCACAACGCCCGGCTATTTTTTTTTTGGTTGCAGCCGTCATTGTTGTTTGGTGGGTCCGGGCTGGGGATTCGAACCCGCCACCT